TCTTGATTTGAAATACCTATTAAATGACTATAACTTGCAGTTCTATTTATTTAAAATGTTCTGGTAAAATTGCAAGAAACATAGTTTTATAAATCATGACAAATTTAAAATCTAAAAAGTCTTTGTGCATTTCTTTCTATCCCATCGAGTCAATGCTTAGTTGAACCAAATTGTTAATCTACATTCTATATTATTAAATTCAGAACAGAATTGAAAATCCTGTTATAAATATAACAGTCTATAATGATCTATAAACGATCTATAATAATGCTGCTGTAGTCTTAGACTGCTGGAGGACATAGGGAACACTTTCTATCATCCTGCTTCATACTGTCTCTATTCTCCAATTCTGCAGTATTTGTTACCGCTGTGCCGTCTTTAATCCCCTTGACAATAAAAACTGGCTCAGAGCTCATCATCTGCTAAACTGGTTCTTTCCTAGACAGAGCCACCTGTGGAGCTAGTTAACTGTTAATTGTCTTTACAAACATCAAAAGTATTTATAGATTGGTGCTTTTATGTTCCTTTCGGATGTCTGAACACACAGTCGATCTCAGCAGAAGGCCGCTTACACTGAGCCTGCTTTTCTCCTGTTAAAACTGTGTTTTTTCCTCTCCTCTGGCGTTGCATGTATGCTCGGTGTGAGGGATTAATGAGGAGTCAAGGAAAAAATGCAAGCCAGTATCTTGCAAAGTCAATGACATGAAACATTTTACCAATCCGACTGCATGATCTGATTGAATGCACTGGATGTTTCAGTTTGAAAGGTGTGATGGAAATTAAGTTTTTAAACATATTCAATGGACCAAAACAAAGATAAATGCATATGATAAGTAACAATAAAAGAAAAACATCCCCTTGGTTTCTCCTCTATGAATCCAGGATAACTGAATTGATCAGCACATCCTATCTGTATGCGTTTGGTTTTTTCTTGGGTGGCTGATCTTTTGAAAAATAAAATTAAATGGTTCTTTTTGTGGACCTCCTATGGGTTTGAGAGGCAAACCTGAAAGCTTTAAGAATTAAAATATTTGTGTTGGTTTAATTACTCCTAAATTCCAACGGGAGATTATTAAACTAGACTGAGTTGAGTTTTAATGTCTGTCATTTTTTAGTGTGAGAAATTGGGAATATGGAGTGAGAATGTGTGAAGACACTGAGATGGGTGAGTCTCAGGGGCGGAGCTAGATGGGGACCCCTTAGCCAGTAATTGGCCACCCCTACCATTTTTTCTCTAAAGTAGAATATTCAAAACATTTTAATTTTAAAAGCACTGTGGTTAATTATGCACATCAATATACCAACATTAAAGATGATTAGTATATAATTCATGCTCTTTCAGAACTAGATTTTGTGTTATATGCTGTAGAGAGAAAACGATGTCTCTGCAAGTCATCTAAGAGTTTTCAGTGAAATCATAAATACTGTAAATAACTATTCTAATAAAAACCTATTAAATTATCAATTTATGTAGATATTAGTACATATAAATATCAATTTAATGTAGAATGATATTGAGAAAAGTAGGTAAGTAAGGACAATGGAAAAGATGTTCGCTCCTGAACTTAAACCTCAAAGAATTTTATCCAATATAGCTTTTATCTAGACCAGAGGTGCTGGCTAATCCGGACGCAACCTGATTAAAAAACATTTATAATTTACTACAAGTTGTCTGATGGTGCTGTCTAACTTCACTTGGGCTGCTTCTCCTGTTACCCCGAAATCCCACATCCTCCGTCACCACTCCGCTCCGCTGCGATCCAGACCTCCTGCGCAAAGCAAAGCCTACAGCCTCCACTGTTCCTCCCGTCCTGCTGCGCTCCGACTTATCCTCGGAGCTCGAGGAGAGCATGCGCAATATTATCATTAAATTCATAGGAGCAAAACATGTAGAAATGAACACTTAATTTAATATGACATATTAAATAATCCCCATCAGCATCCAGCATATGTTCAGTTTCTGATGTAGATCAGAAATCTGCTTCCTGGTCTGTTGAAGCACCAATAATTTGCATCCAATCTTTTAAATAAACGGTGTTAGTTTTTTGAAATATATAAGAATTATGCTCTAATTTGTAGTTACTGATCTGTTGTCAATATATTTTAATTTGACAATACGGA